TAATAAAAGGTAACCTTGGTATTGTCTGGATCACAATAATCCAAGAGTGTATCACAGATATGATATCCCATAGCCTCTAAGTCAACTGGACTGAAATGAAAACCATTCCTTTTACCAAGATTGGAACCACAGAATGTTGACTAAAAATAGAATAGAAATTCAAATTAAAAAAGGGGATGAGTGAAAGCAAGGATTAGCAGCTAATGCAAACAATCATTGTGCACAAGATAGGATCTTTATTATTAGAATTACCATTGTTCTAATCAGACCCCTTCTCATTGCCATCATAATAATCACATATTTTCTACAATGTCATAAAAATCACGTTTACATGTATCTCAAAGATGACAAATTCACCTCCATTGTAAAGCTATTCATGATTCCTAAGTTCCACATGACAATTCTGCCTGTTCCTTCCTGAAATGAKAAAACCAATCAAATCAATCAAAATAATCCAAATATCCATCCATCAATCATCAATCAGTCAAACATCAATCAATTAGTCAATCAAAAACATCAATTATCAATCAATCATTGTTTTTGTTCATTAATTGCTATCAAAACTCAGGGGTGTTTTCTATTAATAACACTATAACCTAAAATACCTTGCTTTTCTGGACTTTGAATTTACATCCTTTATATGAAAACTAGAATAAACCAATCAGTATAGTTGACAGTTAAAGCAACATACTTATCATTATTGACATTCACTTTCTGGTACTTCCATTAATGGTTAACTAATTCAGTTTCGACTCCCTTTCCATAATTCCCATAATCAGAATTCCTATATTGTAGCCTTTAATAGGCTTCACTATAATCACAAGGGATAGGGGGTTTGAGAAGGCACACATGGGATCCCTGTGGATGCTTACCTTACACGGTGCATTCTTAGACATCATCATAGGAAAGATTCTTTCTCTCAGTCTTCTTGCAATGTTCCTCTTGTTATCACATCCATACATAAACACATTCTGCTTTCTACTGTGACCATGAAAATCACAGTACAAAACAATTTCACGCTCTTCAAGCAATCTACAACGAACACAAAGATTTATCTTGATGATCATTTATAGTGAATTACCAAGAATGTTGATTAATATGTAGATTTTTTGTTTAAAGATTTATTTATTTATTCATTCAAAAAAGTAGATTTTGTACAAAGGATGCCAGCTGTCCTGCATGTAGTTGACTGCTAATTAAGGAAGGGAATGTCTGAATGTCTGAATACAAACTTATCATATTTTTTAGAATTTAACTTACTTTTTTACCATGTTCTTGATGTGCCATATTGGAGGAAAGGAGTCCTTTAAAGATGTTTTATAGTTCCTGTTCAAGTCACGTCCAGTTAGTGAGCAACGGTAATTACCAACAATGACTCCATCTGGGTTGATCATTGGAACTATCTTGAACACAAATGTATCACGTAGAAGCTGTGGACAAATAACATAATCTTGTTTATCTAAACCAACTATTCAAAGCAAACAATTGATTTTATATAGAATCAATTGATCATCAAGAATGAGCAGTATAATGATCAATGAAATACTCACATTTTAATCAATACATACAAACAATTCAATCATTAAAATATGATTGTTACCAATCAGTAATTGATTATCAATTGAAATATGTTTGATTTAACCTTAGCATCAGGATTGTTGCTTGTCAAGAAATCTAACAGTCCTTTCATCATCCAGCTGGAATTTGTCTCTCCAGGATGAACTCTAGCTGTAATAACCACTGCACGCTTTGCCTGTCAAAAAGAAATAATAATAATAATAATTAATAATAAAATAATAATAATGAATTACTTTACTACTGCTGTATAAAGTGAAACAACAATGAAACAACTCTGTTCTTGAATTATGCCTAGTTACAGATGGTTTTTATCAGACTGGCTGCAACCACATAAACCAGAATGTGCATGCCAAATACTTTCACTTTTGTGCTGTCTCAGTGCCTATTCTCAATTTTTATTTTTTTGATATTTGCTATTATGTTGATACCACTCAGGGTTCTGTGTTGTGTGCTGTCCATGTTATATTGCACAGTCATACAAAATCTACTATTGACATTAATGTGTTCCATTGCTGTAATATCTGTAGCATAGTTTGCCTATCAGTAAAATGTATTTTACTTGTAAGGGAGGTAAGGTATATGATAATGGGAGAGAAACAATGAGTAGACAAATGGGATTGGATCTAGTAGGCAAATCAGTTATTAGACCAACTTTGTTAAGAAATTTGTAACCTCATTACTAAAATTTGAATTATAGAGTGACGTTAAAATTGTAACCAGCAATATAAGAAAAGAGAAAAGTAT